ACAACATCAACAAAAACCTCCAAAACTGAATACCTATTTAGCTGTTTATCTAAAATTTCAAATGAAACTTTTAACTTAGAAACTTCACTCTGATTTATTTTTTAATGAAGCACCTCATAATATCACAAAAAAAATCGAAAAAATTAACATAAAAATGATCTAAACTTTTTTAGCTGCTTATAAACCATGGCAAAAAAATGATATGGTCCATAGAAATGTTACTGAAGTTATGATATTTCTGTTTTTACAGTACACAGACTACACGAAAAGTAAATATACCCAACACACACAAGCGTTTTTAGGCAGTGCGAAAAGATATAGAGCGTTTCTTTAGAGTTGAGTTCTGGAGGACTGTTTGCTTGCCATTACGCTTGATTATCAAGAATTAATTTGATTCTCAAAGGATCTCAAAGCGGTCTCTATTGTAAGAGGAATATTGAACGAGAAAAAGTCGAGCTTTCTGGCTATAAAGTCAGAGATTTTTCGGTTCACAACCTGGTTTACATAAAGGAAAATTACGTGAAGATCTTTTCGATCGCTGAAATAAAATGAACCCAGATATCCCAACGGTGAAAGCCAATCTTTAGGAAAAAATGATCAGTGAACATGGGCAGAAGGATCCAGAAAATTCTGAGGAGGGGGCGGAAGCGGGGGGGGGGGGGGGGGGGGTGGGCCACAATGGGGGTTAAAAATTTGGTTTATTGATATAAGAACTCAAAGAAACATTATTTTTTTTTTTTTATATTGAGCTTAAAATTTTAGAAATTCAATCTTTGAGAAATTGTCTTTTTTTTCGAACAAAACAAAAAAAAAAAAAACAACAGAGATATAATACACACGCAAGAAAAAAAAAACAACCACACCGACCCACGGGGAAAAACGAAATTTAAAAAAAAAAGGGGGCGGGGAGCGGGGGGGGGGGGGGACGAAAAGGTGGGGGGGGGGGGGGGGGGGGGGGGGGGGGGGGGGTGTGATGAGCCACAATTGCAGTTAAAGATATTGTTTATTGATTGAAGAACTCATAGAAACACTCTTTTCTTTTTTCTATAATGAGCGTAAAATCTTACGAATTCAATCCTTGAGAAATAGTCTTTTGTTCCGAAGCAAACAAGCGAAACAATCTCAACGTAACTTGGGGAAAGAAATTTCTTTTTCAAGTTAAGCCCGCGTAGTTGCTTTCGCTGTTCCTTCAATTTAGATTCTATATTTAGCAGTTTTAGCCCCAAACTGCAAAGTTAGCCCAGTCAAGCACCGAGTCTCGTTTTTGCCCCTTGTGAAATCGTCCGAGCTCATTTTGAACCAAAAAAGCCAGAATCTTGGATGCCTTTCAGCTTGTGGGTCCCCAACTCAACTCAAGAAATCTGTACTATATTGGCCCAAATTAAAATAGCCGTATTAAAAGCTAATGGACCACTTATTTTACCCATCAAAAACAGTCAACTCAAATTCAACGCTAAAACCGTTAAACATTTTGATTTACAGTGTTGCAGTGGCCATACTAAAACCTCCAAACAGCTCCAGGTCTCGAACACCGATCATGTTGGGATCATAGAAGAGAAAAACTGTAAGTTAAATTAATTCACTGTAGTCATGTCCTCCATACCTGCTATCCATGCTATCCGCCTTATAACTTCTCCGAATGTTTTTTCTTTTTTCCACTCTTATAAACGCATGAGCCAACCGTTTTTAAGTACTTCAGGAGCACAAGCTAAGTGCGGCTGTATTTGAAGAGCGGCGATTTTTGTAAAGGAAATTGAAAGTCTCAAAACAAAGCAAACTCTCATAGATATATTTAAAATATTGATGATATAAACTGCACCTATATATTAGGCATCTATATCACTCAATTTGCTGTCGAAAATCATTTCGAAAGAAGTTGCAATTTTTCAACCTTGTCAAGACTTGCGGAAGTGTACGTTGTTAGTTTTCACTTAGTGAGAGGAAATGTGTAGCAGATGATTTTGCCATAAGCTCTCGTTGGAATTCCCGGATGGGTGAGACACGTTTTATACACAATGGACCGAAAAACAGCTTACTTTCTCTTCGAGATAATTGGGTACACATTTGCATCTATATTTGCTTTTGCATAATTTGACTGAGAGCCAAAAATGCCTATATAAGGAAAGTATGAAACGCTCTTGCTAAATAAAAAGTTCTTTTGTGAGGCATTTGGGTAAGAGTTGAGTCGGAGTCCCTTTGGGCATTTGCAAGAAAACATTGGCCGGTCGCAAATATGGTCCCGGCTAACGGTGAAGCTTATTTCCACTCGAAGTGGAGCGGAATTAGCCGTACTACCATCGTATGAGGATTTTTAGTACTTAACATAGAAAGAAAGCTATTCAGGGTGTTCAGGGTGTGTTTAGTTTAACAGATGGTATAGATATTTACCGGTCATTTTGGTTGGAATGGGAATACCGATAGGATTTCCATCTCAGTTTATTGTGCATGGCAGCCCCGGGGGGAGGGGGGGGGGGCTACTCCCTATAATGACTTTATGGGAAGGCTTCGCTTGAAGGGTTACCTGTTTCATGCTTCTGGTATAACAAAGTTTAGGGATCTCACTAGTGAAAGGGTAGAGGAGTCTGTCATTTCGGTCTGTAAACTGGCCCAAAAAGGCTAACAGATTGATTTTGTCGCTGTACGGGGGAAAATGTCGAGTAAACGTTCTGGCTTTGTGATTTACCCAAGATTTGCTCATATTCAAAGTACAGTGAATTTATAGCAGTTATCGAAACTGGCATGCAAAGTTCTAAACTAGGAAACTATGTAAAAGGGGTACCATTTCTCAATAGAAGGTATACGAAAAGGGTACTTTTTCTGTCAAAAATGGTAGGGTTGGACCTCAGAGCGGACACTCCCCCTGTAAAACTTTGTTGAGAACCCCCTCCCCCTCCCCCTCCGGGCACGACTTAGCTTGACTAACTCCAACGCTCAAGCAACTCTCCTCACTGACACATTTTACTTGTCACCTTTTGTGATATTTGTTTTTCTTCTTCTCCTTTTTACTTTGTTATTGTAATTCCTGTAAAGTTTATTTATAATATTTGTCAATAGTGCAAAACAACAAAAATTCTGAAAATCTGAAAATCTGAAATTTTGCGGTAGCTAATCACCGGAAGAACCTGTACCATCTGAATTGAGTTTTGAACCGTGTCTTTCAAGGTTAAATTCAAGACAAATGCATGGTGAAAGATCTCAGACTCCGAATCTCTTTGTGTAGCACTGAACAACATAGCTGTTTACAACTGAACGAATCAGCGGAGGAAAAATAAAGAGGCACAATTGATTTGTAACAAAAATTATTTTAAAATAAAAGTCCGATTAAAAGGTTCGTCGTTGGAAATCAAAACTTTTTTTTATATATATATAAGATGCTTTTAATTTAATCTAATTTAACTTAACTTAATCCACATGTTTTCACGTAAATCGGACTCGAGAAAGGACTAGTAGGGAACACAAGAACCATATGAGCTATTTCACCCAATTTAAAATAGCAAAAAAAAAATTGAAATTGTCAGGAGTGAAAAGTAATTAATACATGTAAACTGTTACTCATCATTTTAGACTGCGAGCAGTCTCTCTTTTTCTCAGAATTTTTGAGGTGGTGCTGGCACGAGAAACGAGGTATCGTGTATTGAGCCTTTTTCTTGACGGACTAAGGAAAAGGAGAGACTTTTCGCAGTTTAGATTAAAAACTGCACTGTGATTTTATACCGTCTATACTCAAGTAACATGTCGGCGATCAGGATCAAAGCCCCTAATCTTATTCTTATGATCTTATGAAAATCTTGACGCTCTGTAGCGCTTTTTTGAAGCAAGACAGGCTTAGGTCTTTAGTTCTTAGGTTCTTGGGTAAGTTATTCCATAAATAAGGAATTCTTTTATTTAAAAATGTTCCATTAACGGTTTTTACTAAATGCAACTCAACTCAACTCAACTCACTCAACCTCGTCCCCAGGTAGTCTGCTACACAGCCGTTTTTAGTGTCGTCACGCAACGCTCCTCCGTACAAGCCAGGGAAAAGTGCCGTGGGGACGAGGTTGTTTATTACTTTGAAAATGATCTTAGTCTCTTATCCGAGTAGAACTGAAAATAGGAGTCAAGGCTGGGGTTAGTTAATAACTAGCCAACGAATAAAATACTTTTATTAGAGCGAAAAAAGGCGTCTGCTCTGGTGGGCTATGGAATCTGCTCCACTAATCATTATTTCAAGAAGTTAAATAATGTATAAAAATCTTGATTAATTTATCTCTGCGATATTGTATATTGAATTCCCACAAGGGTAGTGCATCGATTTCAGTGAGTTAATTTGTGGTTTGCCAGAGTTGTGGCCATTGCGACAAGTGAGCACTTAAACCGGCGCATCGACGATTCATAAGGTTTCGAGGACCAAGAAAAAGTGTCCCTTGTCCCTTCAATAGAGGTAACAAATACAAAGATTATGTGAACATTTTTTCTTGACCAAATTTTGTGTTCCCTGAATGGAGGTGTCTCTTGAAAGGTGTCCCAAAGGAGAGCTTGTACTGTAGATCTAATCGCCGGAGCCGCTCGTTGTAGCTTAGCTCTAGCCTGTATAGCAGGCGCCGGTTATCTATTTATTTGTTTATTTATTTATTTTACAGGCCGCACGAGGGGAACGCTCTAAGGGGAGAGGAGCCTCCTCTCCTTTTCTCCCCTCGCGCGTCCTCGAGATTTCTTCCTTCGCCCCCAAAAAAGAAACCAGCGCCTGGTACGCAGGCTACTAAACTGGGGCAGGAGAGAGAACCCACTGATCGTTGGACTCCTTCTTCTAGATTTCAGCTCCAGGTCTCAAAGGTATAATCACGGTTGGATCGCTCAAGGGCCAGAGGGTCCAACTGCAAGTTTATTTATGCCTGGGAGAAAGACTTCTTGCCATATGCAAAATCTGAGAAGTACTGGGCTGGGTTATTTTTTTCCCAGAATGCTTTTCCCCATTCATGATCTAATCTCGCTCCGCATGGCATCATGGATGCGCTTCAAATTTTGTCAAAGTCATTCCAACATGGCGGCCGGAACGGCTGTAATGCATTTTCCCAGTCCGAGAAGCACCGTGAAGAAAGAAGAACCGGCTCGCAGAGTCCACAAGATCAAAGCAGATGAGGTGATAATAGATACTTTTGGTTAGGGGACAAACTGCAGGGCAATTTTGCGTTGAAAAACTTTAAAAGTTTGTCATGTGGTTGTACATGACGACATCTTTTGATCGAAAACCAAGACCTTTTTTGTAATGAGGTTCGGCGTAACACGCTATCTATTTCGGAGAATTATTACACTTAAAGAGTTTTTTTTCAGATACTTTTGACATCGAAAGTTAGATTGTAAGTTCTTTGAAAACTAAGTAACGTGATATAAATCTCATCTTGTGGGCCATAGTAATAGTTTTTGTCAGGAGATCTCTTTGCATTGTATGAAGTTGGTAGATCTTTTACTTCCTAATTAACCGTAGCTCATTGATTCTGTTTCTTCAAACAAGAGATAGCTTATTATTTACTTAATCATTATAGATTTTTAGATAATACTTTCGATCGGTGACAGTTTCCAGTGCTTTAAACTTACCGAATCATTGGTCCATTGTTTCAGAGTCTTGTACAGTATGAATGCTTACTTTACAAGTTTTTGCGCAGTTTAAGCTTCCCTTTTTTTAATTTCCTCATTATGTGTACCAGTTCAATGTCATGAATATACAGCTTTTTCTGTTTCACCAGTGGCTCTAAAAAGTTATTAGTTTAACTTTTTATACCATCTCATGCACAAGTGTTAATGTTGCAGCTGTTTCTCATGTGGTAACTGGTCATTTCGCCTCCAAGTCAAATGCCCTGGTTACTTAGCCCCCTATTTTCGAGTCATTTAGCATGCTTCAAATGTAATATTCCTCGTTCTATAAGCCATAAAGCAAAACAAGGGTGCTTCAAATATAACATTCCTCGTTCTTTAAGCCATAAACCAAAATAAGCACGCTTCAAATATAATTTTCCTCGTTCTAGAATAGGGGGCTAAGTAACCGGGGCGAAATGACATGGGGGCGAGATCACCCATAACCTCTTTTGTTCATAATCTTAAAAGCAGTACCCAACTTTAATCGAGTTTAACCCAACTTTTTTCAACTTTTATTTGTGATTATTTTTGCAATAAATTTCTGATATTTGGCAATACATTTGTTGTGTCAAAATCAAATATAAATATTTATTTGATAAGAAAAACAAGACAACTGGTAATTAGGCCCTGTTTGGGTAAATTGCGACAAGTGACATGGCTGTAAGACTCAATGAAATGACGACAAATGCCACATAAAGATGGGTTGAATATCGACAGGGATGTGGCCTACTCCTCAAAATGTGAAAGAAACATGTTTGAAATGCAGACTAGGGTTAAATTTTTTAACCTAGGTTGATTCTTTATTTCCTTTGTCTCTTAGCCGTAATTATGAATTTATATGGACTTGGAGATAATTAATTAGGGTGTGGAGGCATGTGTGGCTTAGTGGTTAACACCTCAAACTCTGGATCTGGGGGTCCAGGGTTTAAGCCTCACCCCTCGCATTGTTTCCTTAGGCAAGGAACTTTAATCTTATTTGTCTCTCTTCACCCTAGCCTCCCAGGCAGGCGTTTTTAGGGGAGCTCATTTTTCATTCCTCCCCACAAACACCTGCTCAACCAAAGACAACATTCCTTTCCCAAGCTTAGCCAATCACATTGTACTTTCCAAATTCTGGAAAGTTGACACTGGGAAGCTTTCTGACCTCTAATAAATGTTTTGATTCAGATTGGCAAAAATAAGATTTAGTCAAAATTTAGAATACTTCATGCACTGCATAACCTCAGCGTAGGAAAGAAAAGAAGGAAAACAGTTACTCTAGGGTCACGTTCAGTCGTGTTTAGCCTGTCAACACTTTATTGCACAATTGTTGATTGGTCACTTACCACGCAAATAAAACAATGGGAAAGGAATGTTGTTTTCGGTTGAGCAGGCGTTTGTGGGGAGGGATGAAAAACGATCTCCCCTAAAAACACCTGCGTGGGAAGCTATCTTCACCCAGGTGTATAAATGGGTACCAGCAACATACCGCTGGGAGGTAACCCTGTGATGGACTAGCATCCCATCCAGGGGGGAGTAGCAATACTCCTAGGCTTGCTCCATGCTACAGAAACTGGTATAAGCTCCGGCCATGTGGGCCTTTGGCTTGTGTGGGCTTATACCTTACTTAAGGAGATAACGGAAATTGAGAATCAACCTAGGTTAAAAAATTTTAACCTGAAAAAAAATTTGACCTGTGACATATATGTACCCTCCCCCCCCCCTCACCCCACCCCACTAAGAGGGCCTCGGTCTTCAGAGTTATCAAGTTTGTTTTCCTTTCATTCAGTCTTTCAAACTGAAAGTGAGAAAAAATGGGTTCTAGTTGTTCATCATTGGTGATGCAGCTCTAAAGCGAATTATTATTTTCTTTATTACAACCCCTCTTTCCTGGTGCCTTGTAAAGTATATGTTGTGGTTCAATTTTATCCTTGGTTAAAATTTTATTTTGTTTTGTTTTTGGGTATGGTAATTATTTGTATGGTAATGTATGATAATGAGTTTGAAACAAAAGAAAACAAAATTTAAACCAACGATAAAATTGAACCATAACATATATAATGTTGAAAACAAAATTTAGAATAAGAGCATCTTTTTTTAATTTCATCTTTTCCTCTTTTTTGTTGAAGATGGAAGTTGAAGAAGAGAAACAACATGAAGGAATCCAGCAATATTATATTACCAAGATAGAGGCACTCCAGGTATAATCAGCATTCATGAGCAATATATTGTTATACATTTTTATTCTTTTTTGTCTGTTTGTGCTGTAGTTTATATTTAAAGTTGTCCTTGGTATTATTATCATACATCTCTGATAACTGTGTTGTGGTTGTTAGTCTCAGAGAGTAATTATTGACATTTAAAACAAAACTAGATAATTATTCCAACCTCGCATTGCTAGTTTTTAGTTTTTGTCAGGTTACACAGTCAGCTGATGCACACATGCATTAGATACCATTTCTTAGCTGATTCCAATGTCACAAGGCACATGTGAAACAGAAAGTGAGAAGCGTATCCAGAATACTGTAAACAAACCTTGAAGAGTTGCACTACTTACAAGCCGAAATTGTGATTATAAAACCTAAGCCATAATTTATCAGATCGCTCATTTTTTTATATACTATTGTGAATTCACTGGTGGATTTGTCGAGGGAAAGCTAAACATCGACAAATACTGCCGAATTCGAACATCAGTAGAGGTAAGAAATTACACAAAGTCTGAATCATTGTCGAAGGTTCAAGGTTAAGGAAGCTTGATTTTCCAAATATGTGTACACTTTTCGATTGATTTTCCAACTATATATAAATTTAATAACGCTTATTTGCTCGCCATTGTTTTTTATTCATTTCTCTAGTTATTTCGGTAAACGAAGGTGATTTCTCCCGCCCGGCGCCTATGTGTTTCTCACCTCTTCTGTTCATGTTTCTTTGGATACTGTTTTTATCCAAGTATGATAAAATAATGTAATAGGATAAGTAAAAGCTTGCTCAAGAAGGAGTTTCCAGTAAAAGATCAAGGATCAAATGAAACACTAGGCAGATTTCTAGATGTATCTGACACGTACATTTGATTTTGGGTTGATGTAAATGCTTCTCAAACTGGCAGGTCAGCGCAGTCCCACAGCTGACTGTGTCCCTTTAAGCAAACAGTGCAGAGTTGTATGAAAACATCAAGAATTAAAGGGAACATGGAACAGGTTCCCATATGACTTCTGATCTTAAGTTTAAGTCTCCCTTTGAGTTTCAATCATAATGCAAGGCAAATTGGAAGGAGAATTTAGTAAGCTATTAAAAGTCATAGAAGGTTTTATTCCAGCACTTGTTTACCAGTGATCAATACAAAAAAAAACACTAAGATGATCTTGAGTAGTGAAATAATGATAGTTAAATAATGATAATAATTATTATTATTACACACTGTATGCATTCAAGGACACAGACATTAAACAATTATTGGATGAGGTTGAGCATGATATCATGAATTATCAAAACCAAGGTTTGTGTTATCTGCCGAAGCCGAAGGCTGAGGCAGATAATACAGACACAAGGTTTTGATACTTCACGATATCATGCGAAAACCGAGTTCAATAATTGTTTTATTATACATTTTTTAAACAATAGGCAAAAGAGGACATTCAGCCATTCTGTCTCTGAGGAGAACACTCCAAGGGGCTTGGTAACCAGGCAGACATTGAACTTGACATGATAAATGCAATATCTGCAGCAGATATTGCATTTATCATGTCAAGTTCGCAAGCTATTGTGAATTGATTGAATGCTCTCGATCAATCAGATTTTCATACTGAGTCTGATGTATAATAAAAGAACTGATTGGTCCATCTTCTGAGTCAGAGCTCCATGATAAAAATGCTCCACAAATTCCTTTAATATTAAAATAATCTAAAGCTTGAACTAGAGATAACAAAAATCTTGTTAAACCTATAAAGTAAGTCTATTGTTAGTTTAATGTCTTGTCTTCGTAATGTTATTGTACATGTTTTCTGAGTTTTATCAGCTGCTTTGTTGGTGTTACACAAAACAAATGACTATTGATAAAACTGACTCCTTTTTCCCTTACAGATGGTTGTGACAGAAGAAATCAAGAACTTGAGAAGGCTTGAGGCCCAGAGAAATGAGCTTAACGCTAAAGGTAAGTTCTTTACTACTCTCTTTGAAGACAGAAGTTAAAACTCATGAACTTAATAATAACAGCAGTTTTATTTCATAAGTATAAGTATTTGCAGTTGCTTGGGGTTTGAGTTTTCTTCCTTGTATTAATATTAACAATTTATCTTGCATTATTTTATAGTGCGAATGTTGAGAGAGGAGCTGCAGTTGCTGCAAGAGCAAGGGTCGTATGTTGGTGAGGTGGTCAAACCAATGGACAAGAAAAAAGTTTTAGTAAAGGTATGTCTAACTTATGACACAGCTTTAAAGCAACTGGGAGGAAGTAAATGTCTGATTTTGTATGTTAACGGGTGGAACGTACATGTATTAAATACCAGTAGTCGGCCTGCCATTATTGAAGGGTGTTTCAGTGTCTTGAGACATATTTTGAGGGATGTTTTGCAGGAAAGACTTCTGCATTTCTGGCGCAGAAATTTCATGCTGATGATGTTATTCAATTCTTACAAAATACATGTGTAATCCGATAGTTATTAGTTTCCAGATGTTAATTTACATGTATTAAAATTTCTGTTTCTCCCCACCTAATACAAGAAAATTTTGAGTTCTTCTGAGAACTAGCACAGTGAAACCAGAATGCTTCTTTTAAAGAAGAGTATATTCCCACAGTACATGTAATTACTTTTTTAGGTAAATCAGGGTTCGCACAGTCTTAAAAAGTCCTTGAATTCTAGGGGGAGCCCTTGAAAAGTCCCTAAATTTCTGTGTCCTTGAAAAGTCCTTGAATTTTCTTCAACTTTGAATGAAGTGACCTGGAGAGGTTTTTTTTTCATGCTGTATTAGCCTAAATAATTACTGTCAGTATATCATAATCAGCAGAGTCTTCTGTTAAGAACTGTTGGCTCAACTTACATGTTAATGATTTTGTTTTGCTTCCGACAGGTTCATCCGGAAGGGAAGTTTGTAGTTGATCTTGATAAGTCAATTGACATGTCTGAGGTAAGTCAAAGATAATAATGCATCATTATTGGGAAGTGAACACTGGGGCCTATGGAAAGACTTTTAACTTTTCTTTTATGGTCACAAAAGCAATAGATAAATTAGATAAATAAACAAAAATTGTATTATTTGCCAGCTTAGGGTCAGTCCAACGTAGTGAGCAAGGTGTTGACAATGCTGACCAAGGCGACAGACTGAGGTCAGCATTTTCAAGGCCGTGACATCATAATTTTCATAATCTGGGTCTCTTAGCTGGCAAAGAACATATCCATGCATGTATACATGTATGATAGGCAAGTGACCAGACAATTGATAAGTTTAAGGGATGGACATATTATTGGATTGTGATCAACTGTATGTTTTCCCTTTTCAGGTTACACCAAACTGCAGAGTAGCACTAAGAAATGACAGTTACACTCTTCACAAGATACTGCCCAACAAGGTTTGAAATATTTCTCAATTACCATATTTTTGAGTAGTAAGGTGTATTGCTGCTGTGCCTAATAACTAAAATAATATGGTACATGTAGGTAAACTATGATACATTGTACTCTCTACATGTCTTCTCATTGGCTAAGGACCAATGGTAAATTTTCATCTTGAGAACTACATGTATCCCCAATATGTTCTTATAATGTACTTGTAGGAAGATTCCTGTGTTATATAATTACGGGTATAAGGAGTAATTGGATTGTAAGTAGTAGTACTAAATAATAACTTTAGTATGTTATTAGCCAAGAGTATTAAACTGTAGTTCGGAAAAGAAAACAACAGTGATATTGGTAACATTTTAGGTGGACCCTCTTGTCAGTTTGATGATGGTTGAGAAGGTTCCTGATTCCACTTATGAGATGGTGGGTGGACTAGACAAACAGATCAAAGAAATCAAAGAGGTATGTTGTAAAGAAACATTGGCCCATGCCAAGATCTTTTTCTGTGAGCTTCCAGGTGAGCCACACACCAATCTTTGGGTCTCCTTTAGTTTCTTGGGTGTCCTTTTCCTATTTACACGTAGGCATTACAGTCTTGATTTTTGTGTCAGGATGACTTGGAGTGGCCAGCAGTATCTTTATAACTCAATTTAAAATTGTCACACACCTATTGCGTCATTCTAATTGCACTAAGTTTTAAAATCCAATTTTGGAGTTCCTTATGAAACCCAAGTGTCCGATATTATTTTCGCAACTGTCTGCGTTAATTAAGATTTCCTGGTCACCTTTAATACATCATAGGATCACTGGGATGCCCTGATGCAATGCCCTGCCAACTTATCCATGAAGATGTCTGTACACTGTAACTATGCTTTGGTTTTATGAGAATGGCAAGGAGCTAACCATGTAAGATAATGTTTTTCTTTCCTATAGGTCATTGAACTTCCTGTAAAACACCCTGAGCTTTTTGAAGCCCTTGGGATTGATCAGCCAAAGGTATGATTATTTTATTTTATCAACCACTCAGCATTATTTATTGGCATTTCAGTTGCATAAATGAAGCAGCCTACATCAGATAAACTGATAGCTTATGACTGTTACATCAAAGGTTGATGCAGAACTGTGTATTGCACACATCAGAGGTTTCTCTGCTCTGGTTCAATTTTATTGTTTGTCTAAATTTTATTTTCTTTTGTTGCAGACTCATTATCATACATAACCTTTCCCAAAAACAATGGAAAACAAAATGAAAACTAAGGATGAAATTGAAATACATGTGTAATGTACAGCATCTGCATGTATACATTGTGGTGTGTTTTTGCCCACAAAAAAGATTTTGATACCTTTGACCATAATATTCTGCTAGACAAGCTCAACGTCTACAGCTTTCATGGATTAATCAACCAATGGTTTTCCTCATATCTCAATAACCGGACCCCAACTACTCAAATTGCTGATCACATATCAAATAAAGCCACAATCAAGTTTGGAGTTCCTCAAAAGTTCCGTTTTAGGTCCTCTTCCCTTTTTGCTGTATGTTAATGATATCCACCAGTGCTCTACTAAACTTACATTGTATCTCTTCGCTGATGATACAAATATACTTTTTGCTGAAAAAAAACTTGAAAGTTCTTGAAACGGTAGTCAATAATGAATTTTGCTAACTCTACGACTGGTTAACATCTAATAAGCTAACCCCATTAGTAAATTCAACTTTGTAATCTTTCATCCTAAACAACTGTTTCTTCCAGGGAGTATTACTGTATGGTCCACCAGGTACAGGCAAGACACTGCTTGCCCGAGCTGTAGCACACCACACTGAGTGCACATTCATTAGAGTTTCTGGATCTGAACTGGTGCAGAAATTTATTGGTGAAGGAGCTAGGATGGTTCGAGAACTGTTTGTTATGGCAAGGTAAAAAAAAAAAATAGAGAGAAGTCGTTACATCGCTTTGCTTTGGTAGCAAAATTCTGGATCTTAACAAACGGTGGTCCTGCAAATATGGCAGAAAAAGAATTCAAAAAAACAAAAAGTGGACATTGGTGACTTTTCTGTGCATAATTACACGGAGGAACAAAACAGTAGCCTATACTTTTTTGGAATTCAATTTTTTTTTTTCGAGCCCTGCAAATACATGCAAAGGAATTATTTACTACAGTAGTCTCTGTTCTTTATCTTGTTATTGTACCTGTGTCTTCGAACAGCTTGTGAACCTCTTCACAATAATTAATTTTGAAATGTTGTTTTTATTAATTCTTTATAGGGAACATGCACCCTCCATCATTTTCATGGATGAGATTGATTCTATTGGGTCTTCAAGATTAGAAGGAGGGTCAGGAGGTAAGATATGGCTGTTTGTTTGTTTGTTTTTATTTATTTACCAAATGTTATCTCTTGGTTATTACTTACATCAGCAATAAGAGGTACATGTACTGTCCACGTAGTTCCTAGGTGTTGCTGCAGAGCATTGAATATTTTTTGTAGAGTCTTGAGTGAGAGAGGGTGGAAAATGATTAGTCAAATCAATTTATCCATTTAATCATTAATTTAGTTATCAGCAGCATACTGCCCTCTGATCTAGCCTATCACCTTTAAGGCATAATCACAGCACTGGTGGAAAACAAGCAGTCTAATGCAGATGTTTGTGTTTTAAGCCAGCAATCTTTTTTCCCTTTCACATACAATGTATGCTGTAGTTATCCACAACAACTTTGTAGAGCTTGTGGAAGCCAAGTTTCTGTTTTGCAAACAACATAAGTATCCAGTTAGAATGGTTAGCACTCATGTAGTCATTAATTGTATTGTATTGTAATTGCAGACGGGAAGAAAAAACTTTTTCCCTTTCACATATGCTATGGTTATCCATAAGAACTTTGCAGACCTTTTAAAAGCTTAGGTACTATTTTCCAGACAAATTTCCGGTTTGAAATGTTGACATTTAAGTGGATATTTGTTTGTGAAACAGGTGACAGTGAGGTACAAAGAACCATGTTGGAATTGCTAAACCAACTTGATGGGTTTGAAGCAACTAAGAACATCAAGGTTGTGATGGCAACAAACCGCATAGACATCTTGGATTCTGCTCTTTTGCGACCAGGACGTATTGACAGAAAGATTGAATTCCCGCCCCCAAATGAAGAGGTGAGGCTATGAGGATCTTTGAATTTATTGCCACATTAGTGGTGCTTTCAGTTTTGTCAGGTGTAACTTGTGCTGACCTCCAAGATAGTGCAGTTGTGCAGTAAAAAGTAATGCAAAAAACATGCGAGGGCCCTTCCTCAAGTGACACACGCCTTATTTTCTCTACATCCTTACTATCTGAGATCCTGCGTGGCACAGGCTAGAATTGTGCAAGCTTTTGGGCTCCATCTACAGTACGTTTTGCTGGATAAATTAATTTTAAAACACTACTTGTCTACGTCATGATAGGAGTGCTTGAAGTTGCAATTCCAAACTTTAAAAGTTTATTGTTGGGACAATTTCCCCAGAACACACTTCTCAGGCCAACCCCCAGTGGAAAGGTAGCCTGTTCACAGACCCTCTATTTTCTCTTCAAAGTCCGTTGAGCGCGCGTGATAAAATATAAACCGCAGGGATTTATTGACCACCAGTGCAAGCGGGTAGTTGTGGGGGAAGAAGAAATTTTGAAAAGAACAAAAAGTAAAATAAAACAACTTCTGTGTACAGGCTAGTGGAAAGGGGTAACTTGCAGTTTGTTGAGTGCCCTGAATTTTGTCGAAAATTGGTGTTTGTGCTTAAACAACTTCAATTTTGTTTTTTTGCATTTTGTTTTTTATGAAGCAAAAGAAATTAATTCTTACGCAGTTCTTCATGTCATTCTTAATTACTTGCACAGGCCAGATTGGATATCCTGAAGATTCACTCCAGAAAGATGAATTTAACCAGAGGTATCAATCTCAGAAAGATTGCTGAACTTATGCCTGGTTCATCAGGGGCTGAAGTCAAGGTACAAATTAATGCCACCCTTTCATGTGTTTTTCTGAAATCATGTAAAATGTTGAGTAGTCAATGAGTGAGAATATCTGTCTGTCTGTTAGTATGTCACTCTAGAAGTTGGTGACTCACTTAGTGAGTTGCTGTAGTTGGTAGGTTGAAGTTGAAAGAGTTGAGATTGACTTGAGATTGACTTGTGGAACAAGTTTGATAAACTAAGTACAATCTCTAACCTAAAGGACCTGGATCATGAGGTTCTTTCTTCAGTATAGTGCCTTACTGCTATGTCACAGCTTAACTGGCATAGATGTGGAAGTTGTAATGTCACGTCCTCATTCCCACTGGCAGTAGTATAGGACATGGTGGTACAAACTCATTTTCACAAATCATACACAAAAAACCAGTAGCTGAACTGGCAGTTCAACTACAAGTTCAACTGCCAGTTCAACTGTTGGTTTTATGTGTATGACTTGTGAAAATGAGCTTGTACCACCATGTCCTATACTACTACTGACCCTCTCATAGCAACCTGTGTGGTAAGCATTTGAGAGGGAGTGGGAAGGTGGACAATAGGAAAAAAAATGGTGCATTCTTTATGTTTTTGCCCATCCATTTTTCTCCTTTCCTCTCCCCTGTAGCATACTTGCCATGGATGCTCACTCCTCATGGCAGGGAGAATTTCAACAAGTTAGGTGTTGTATGATGTTGACAAATCAACATAAGGATCAACTCAATAAGTTTGTAACATTTGTGCCTGAATAGCTCATTAATTTATGGTAGCATGTTTTGTTTATGGCTTACATATCAGAAATGAGAATTTCGAAGTGGATCTGTGATATTTTTAGGGTGTTTGCACGGAAGCTGGTATGTATGCCCTGAGAGAAAGAAGAGTTCATGTTACACAGGAAGACTTTGAAATGGCAGTGACAAAGGTAGGCCACCGGTGCAGTAAACTCTTACTGAATGGATCACACCAAATATTAAAATACTGCGTGCTAGTTAACGTCATCATAAACGTTTTTGAATCTGGATAATTGCTAATATCTAAATGCATCATTCTAGTGCTGTCAGGTCCTTGAAGATACTGCGGCCTCTTCCTCGCAGAAAATTGCAGTAAACATTCACAACAGTCACCAGGCTCCAGTTGTTCAAAAGGTTGATAACGCTATCCTTTGGAGAAATCTCTATCCAGTGGATAGCGCAGTTGGTTTCCCTAAAACTTATCCGCTGGATAGTGACTTATTCGGTGGATAGTGCTATCCAGCTTTTGAACAAACATTTGTGCCTGAATAGCTCATTAATTTATGGTAGCATGTTTTGTTTATGGCTTACATATCAGAAATGAGAATTTCGAAGTGGATCTGTGATATTTTTAGGGTGTTTGCACGGAGGCTGGTATGTATGCCCTGAGAGAAAGAAGAGTTCATGTTACACAGGAAGACTTTGAAATGGCAGTGACAAAGGTAGGCCACCGGTGCAGTAAACCCTTACTGAATGGATCACACCAAATATTAAAATACTGCGTGCTAGTTAACGTCATCATAAACGTTTTTGAATTTGGATAATTGCTAATATCTAAATGCATCATTCTAGTGCTGTCAGGTCCTTGAAGATACTGCGGCCTCTTCCTCGCAGAAAATTGCAGTAAACATTCACAACAGTCACCAGGCTCCAGTTGTTTAAAAGGTTGATAACGCTATCCTTTGGAGAAATCTCTATCCAGTGGATAGCGCAGTTGGTTTCCCTAAAACTTATCCGCTGGATAGTGACTTATTCGGTGGATAGTGCTATCCAGCTTTTGAACAACTGGGTGTAGTATATTAAGTCTAAGAAATTCGTTCCATTTCTTACTGTATAAAGCCTGGGAAGAGTTGCTCGAAAGACTATGAGTTCGAACCCAGAGTTACGTGTAGTTACCATGACAATCGCATTGTAACCTTGACCTTTATAAAAGCGGTGGCTTCTCATAACCTATATTTTTGTCCTGGTCTGTTTTTATTGGTTCTGTATCAATTTTACCATAACAGTGCCATAAATACATTTGTTTATGGTGTTTAGGTCAGCGTGTTCTTTCATTTTGTCAAGTCTTAGCTGTATTATCTAGCACTGAGGTTAAAAGTGATCCATTTTCATGTATCCTAAACCTAAAAGTTCTTTTTTATCTTCATATTCATAGGTGATGCAGAAAGATTCAGAGAAAAATATGTCCATCAAGAAACTCTGGAAGTAAAAATCCTGGCTTCAAGTTACAATCATACACGTTAAAATAACAATTGATTTTCTATACCCCACTGCCTGCTATTATTTTTAATTGTAATGTCGGTCTATCAAACACCCAGATAAAAGGCATTAGAAAAGAAATGCGACTCTGATAATCTTCACAAGGGATGGCCCGCATGTTTGGGATAGACTCCCATCAAGGATTGGTTGTACAAAATATTTAAGATAGCGTCTTTGCACACCTTTCCTAGGATCCAAGAAGGACACACTATTTTGTCATAGATTGGCATAAGAGACTTCTAAGATCTGCTAAACTGTCATTGTTGAAAAGTTCCATTTAAGATTGCAGATTACTTCTAAAGTGTGTTAAAGTTAAGGGTGCGTTTAAAATTTCCCATAAGTTTAAGGGTCTGGGACTCTTATAACTGGAAACATTTCGTTTTAGTAAGTAATTAGTACGCGTAGATGATTGTTAGAATCGCTTTTGCATTTTGTACATGTAGAGAATTGTCGCATGCTTAATCAGTCAGTTAATATAATTAAACATAAAAACTCGTCTCTCTGACATAATTATGTCAGCAACATGTTTAGCAGCCTTTGTTATTCGGTGATCTTGTTTCCCTCCTTTTTGTGAACAATTCTCTATTTTTTGCTTGTTATTTTATTTTTCAACATACGTTGACTGAAGTAGAACTGAACTCAAACTAATTGAAAAATTGGCTAGTACTCAATCACATCTGTGAAAAAAAACCTGATTAAACGACATTTTGGTATTTCACTATTTATCGGTAAAATAGGTCGCAAGAAGGTGACCATACTTAAGGATGCTTCGCATATGAACTATAACATGTTTTAGACATGTTGTGTATAGTATGTATATGAAAGTAAACAAGCCAATGACTGATTAATTGTAGGGGGAATGAAAAGGTTATCACTAGGAACAAATGTGGGAACAAGTTATCCCAAGGGTAAAAAAGAGGGGGGTCAGCCCCCACGGCTTTAACTACCCTTTTCTTTAGGCCAGTGAAGTAAAAGTATGCGTTTTTCGATCTGTCATAACGCAACTTGGAACAGTTATTTCAGGAAAAGTTGCTAAGTATTAAGGAGTCTTTTGTTCGTTAATATGGCATCAATGACTTGGCAAAGTTAAGATGGCTAATACTACTAAATGTTATGACAAACAATTTCCTTGTAGTTTGGTCTTAGCCTGAGAGCAAGCTATCCATTTTTGGCAAGCGAAGCGAGCCATCAGGAAACGTGCCAACGAGCTTTGCGTCTCCTATCAAGTGCTGCTGGCGAAGCTTGCTCGCAGGCTAGTTGGTTTTACCTTGACTGCTTTGGAAAGTTTAAACTGTTTATTGGTTTACTTGCTGGTTGGCTGCAGTAGTCAAGGAAAACAAAACTGATGAATAAATGAGACTTTCTTTTACGTCGTCTGCGATCTTTCATTGGTCTCGTATTCTCCATTATGAAAATACTACGGTTGGGTTCCTTTTTGCCATTCCTTTTTCGGATTTAGACATTCCAGATTATTTACATTTTCGTGCTAGCCGGACCAAAAATTTGTTCCATACAGTAGCAGGCTGCTACACTGATCTTCGCAATTTCATCGCATCGTATTTTTATTTCTTTGCTCTAGCGTCTTCTCGTGGAGCAATGGAAAGAAAGGTACCTCTTTAAGGAGTAACGGTTCAAAATGGGACTCGTAAACTTAAAATTTGCTGGAATTTGAACCACAGCAATCTCAGAAGACAACTACGAAACCTCAAATGCTGAGAGGCACGCCCAAGACACACATTGGACATTTTATACAGTAACAATACCCAGGCGTTTTCGCTTCTCTGTGGACAAAGTAGAGTTACAATTAACAATCTAAACGATCCAATTGCGAAGGTAGATCGTTCAGATTGCAATCTAAGACTAGTTTGGAAAATCGAACTTTTTATTTAGAATGGTCAAAAGGTACACATCCTCAGTGGATACATTCAAAGCTCCTTCGGGGCTGAGGCAGAAAAAACGTCCGCAACTGGAGCTGGCCGTAGCCTGAATTTCATCCGACTACTTCGAGCCGTTATTACTCCCTCAGTTGTTGAGAGGAGAAAACGACTCGAAGCAATCGGATGAATTTCAAGCTAGAGCTGGCCGTTTACCTGAACGATCCTTGCCAACGGCCACTTTGACTGGTTTGGCCATGACGTCAGTCATTTGTCATTGGCTGACAATTTTTTCATTGTTCATTTCTCGACATTTGTATAACACCTTCCGGACGTTTGGGAAGAAATATACCACCACACTAAACTGTTCTGCAGTCCATGCCCGTTTAAATTATACTTAGTACATCCAAGCAAACCCCCAGGAGAGGTACCTACAGTAGTCCCATGTATGGGATAGATAGATAAGTATGTGCCGCCTATGGGGTATTGTTTTTGAGGGTCTCGATCCTTACGAGATAAATAAGGTATTATTTTTACCCTTGTTGGCATTTTGTTCCTGATGTGATCCTTAGAATGTGTGTCTAAATTGTATCTGCGTAAACGCCCAGTTAGATGAGAAACCATCTGTTAAAACTGAACAATCCCATGGAATTTATGTCTCTGTGTTGCCATTAAATTCTTAGTTTTGTTTTTGCCTTGAACACGGTGTTATGTTTACGGGTTTGGGCCAATAATAGGGTATAAAAATTTCATTTGTCTCTTCCTTGAATAGTGTCAGGGCTGAAGACCCTGGGCGGCACACACATAAACCCATGTATCCTTGAATGAACCAGTTCTCTTCCCACTTGACTTGCATCTTACTACGGTGATTAATAGTTTTTGCTAAATTTAAAATCACAAGAGAGCTACAACTGATTTGTTTTAAAAACATTTATTCACATTGTCATGTCATACGATTTAGCGTGCCGATTAAGTTGCACAATTGGAATATTTTAATCCGATTCACGGATACTCTACATTTATTTCTTTATTTACCTTCGACGGTGTCTATAGAATGAGCACAGAGAGGCCGTGCGAAGGTTGAAAGAAATAAGCATAAAAGTAGTATAGTAGGGAGCGGTTACTCCTTTTTTACGGGGTGTTAGTGATGGCGGGAATNTGATCCTTAGAATGTGTGTCTAAATTGTATCTGCGTAAACGCCCAGTTAGATGAGAAACCATCTGTTAAAACTGAACAATCCCATGGAATTTATGTCTCTGTGTTGCCATTAAATTCTTAGTTTTGTTTTTCCCTTGAACAGGATGTCATTTTTGCGGGTTTGGGCCAATAATAGGGTATAAAACTTTCATTTGTCTCTTCCTTAAATACTGTCAGGGCTGAAGACCATGGGCGGCACACACATGAACCCATGTATCCTTGAATGAACCTGTGCTCTTCCCACTTGACTTGCATCTTACTACGGTGATAAATAGTTTTTGCTAAATTTAAAATCACAAGAGAGCTACAACTGATTTTTTTTAAAAAATTTATTCACATTGTCATGCCTTACGATTTAGCGTGCCGATTAACTTGCACAATTGGAATATTTTCATCCGATTCACGGATACTCCACATTTATTTCTTTATTTACCTTCGACGGTGTCTATAGAATTAGCACAGAGAGGCCGTGCGGAGGTTGAAAGAAATAAGCACAAAAGTAGTATAGTAGGGAGCGGTTACTCCTTTTTTACGGGGTGTTAGTGATGGCGGGAAAATTATTAAAATGTGGTAAGGGTGGCGATGGAGAGTAAAACCAAATGTGTGGTGTTGGTGGTAGTGGTGAGAAAGCAATAGAAATGAAGAAAAGCGAAAAGGGAGGAGGGAAAATGACCTTTTTTTTCGTGATAGAAAGAGCTAGTAAGCCTTCGTCCTCATTAAATATTCAAGATTTGTGCGCCAGGGATCAGTGAACCGGACTGCAACATATTACGGACCTTAAGATCCGAGGACGGCGACAGCAGACAAAACGTCCCTGAAAAAGTGAATTCGCGTTCTTTCAATCTTCATCGAGATTACTTCACGTCGCTAACTTTGTCAAATGTAGGCGAACCCTCCTAAAGTTCAATTCCTAAGAACCATATCCAGGTTCAGAAAGAGAGAGGAAATTTCGTCTTCGCTTGTGTACTTCCTCTGTACATCGTGAAATTAGGTATTTTCACGTCGTAGTCGTGCAGTGACGGCAAAGAAATGTACAAAAAAGCGTGATGCACGTGCAAAATGGTTGTTTTGCTAGTCAAACCTATTGCTTTTTTGAAGTTCTCGTTGCCGTCGCCGTCGTGGGATCTTAAGGTCCCTATTGTTGGACAATACAAGCGGCAGGAAACAAAACTTGCGTAACTGATTACGTCACGAGATAGTGATTTAATGCAACAGGCTCAGCCTGCGTAGCTGGCGGTTTTTTGCGGTTCGCAAAGTAAGAGATGCAGCCGCGCGAAAGCTGAACCAAGGTCAGACCTGAAAACGTTGGGGGAGGGAGTAAGAGGAGAAGGAGCAGATTTTCCCTCTCTCTCTCCTTCCCTCGCCCTCTCCCCCATCGTTGTTTCGTTTGACCTCCCCGAGTCCGTATAAGTACGAACCAAAAACGAAAATCACACAAACAAAAACTGCCAGCTACGCAAGGTAACACAGGCGAGTTTGCGCTTATTCCTTCGACAACATGAATCAACCAGTGAATACTTTTCTTAGTTTTGAGTCAACCAATCAAAAAGCAAGACATTCATCAACCTAAAATAACTAGAAAACCTGTCAAACCGGTTAAATTACCTAAAAATAGCATTTGATCTTAACTTAATGAGATTGCACGTCATTTTATTCATGAGATAAAGACAAAAGGCTATGACGTCATGGGCGTTAGTGTATTCCCCCGCAAGTCAATGAGAGCTTCCCACAGAAAAGAAGTAACGGGTCCCAACTATACTACTTACAAATAACAAAGTTAATTATAAACGGCAGAAATTAGAACAGCACACTTTTTACAAGCGTGGTCGAGGAGTTGAACTCGGATTACCGAGAAACAACTCGTAGCTAGAAGGTCAAAGTGTGAACTGAACGCATGACCTCGGGATTAAAAGTTAAGCAGTCAGTCGGCCACGCTGTCTTCCACAAAAAAACCCCGACAAATGTTTGCCATTCAGCGATATATCAAGATTTGTTTGAGATGTTTTAAACCCCCTACTTGGAATCAATTTGATCATTCGGAGAAGGATTGTTTAATCTTGCTAGAACTTCGTTAGCAGCTCTTTGTCCAGCCTGTACAGCACCATCCATGTAGCCTCGCCATTCTGTTGCTGATTCTGTTCCTGCCCAGTGAATTCTATCGAAAACAACGCCTTGGATTAAATTAAGTATTAAATAGTAAGAAAAATGAAATAATAAATGAGAAAGATAAAATGTTAACTGATCAAGACTTGAGCTTTATAGACAAGAAAGAGTGATTTTGTCCTGAAACCACAGGCGGTCCAAACTCACATAGGTGACGAGCAGGTGTCGCATTACAGGCGACCGTTGAATATATAAGAGACTTTGTATGAGAAATATATTACTGAGATCTGCGAACGCTAAATAACGCTAAACCTTACTTTTTGTTAAATGAAATGAATAAAACAGACTTAACTGCAATGTATTCCACTGGTTTTTTTTTGGCTTTACTGCGTAACCACTGTTACTCCTTTCATAGAACGAAGTGAAGGCTGGTCACTTCGATCTGGCAGGGTCCTGGACCAGTCGCAACAAGAATGCCGTTTTTTCGCCGAAATTCAGTGGCAACAGTGGTCACAGGCACTGGACGAAAGCCAGATTTGCCTCGAAGTCCGGCACAAATGGCTCGATTTGATGGGGAAATTATGGATCTTTTTTCGAGTCGATCTCCCAGAGAGGAAGAAGAGGTTTTCCTCTTGGGCTGGAGCTGAAACATTTGCAGCGGATTTCAATTCCGGCGAAAAAAACGGCATTCTTGTTGCGACTGGTCCAGGACCCTGCCAGATCCTTCACTTCGTTCTATGAAAGGAGTAACAGTGGTTACGCAATAAAGCCGAAAAACCGGTAAAACAACAAACAGATACCAAAACACAGTGGAATACACTGCAGGTAAGTCTTTTTTATTCATTTCATTTAAGAAAAAGTAAGGTTTAGCGTTATTTAGCGTTCGCAGATCTCAGTAATATATTTCTCATACAAAGTCTCTTATATTTTCAACGATCGCCTGTAACGCAACACCTGCGCGTCACCTATGGTATGTGAATTA